CTAATATATATATATATATATATATATTATATATATATATATATATATATATTTTAATGTTGAAATGCTTTCTTTTTTATTTTGTTTTATTTTTTTTTTCTTTTTTCATTTATATACAAGTTTTGGTATACATTGGTCTTTATAAATTATTGTTTCATATTCTTATTTTTAAACTGCTTATGTATTGATACAGCAACTTATAAACTTCTAAATTGTTAGAAACTATTAACCCATAAAGGTTGATGGGTTTTACTAAAATTTTTATTTTCATAATGGTTTCCATAAAAACATTGGTCTTTATTCTATTTTTACTACAGTTTAATATCATATGTTCTAGTGTGCCATATTCTCCACATTCGCAGTTTGGGGAATTTACAATTTTTAATTTAAATAAGTGAGATGGTGCTAGGGAATGATTGAATCGAATTCTACAGATAATTCTGATTGCATCTTTTTTTGTTATAAAATTACAGAACCATGGTTTGGTAGGAATTTTCGGCTGAATGCCTTTATAAAAAAGTCCCTTGGTATAATGATCATATTTATTCATCCATTCCTGTCTAATTATATTTTTTGAAATAATATAAAGGTCTTCAGGAACTAATGAATAATTTACAACAGTATCGGAATCTAATGCTTCCTTGGCCAGTATGTCTACTTTTTCATTGTGGATGATCCCACAATGAGCTTTAACCCAAACAAACTTAACTATTTTTCCTTCCTCATACAAGTATTTAAAATTAATTAATATATTTTGTAAGATATAATTAATATTAATATTAGTAGATATGTTTGAAAGTTTATGTAAAACACTTTTACAATCTGATATTATTAAAAAAAAAATTTATTAAATAATTTATTTTTAATATATTTTAATGCTTCTAATATAGCGAGTTGTTCAGCTGAATAACTTGAAAATTCACTCGGAAGTTTTTTTGCCTCGAAATAGTCTCGTGTAGGGTCCCAAAATGCACAGGAAGTTTTATCGTCTTTTTTTGATGCATCTGTAAATATGATATGATAATTTTTAAAATCATTTTCTATGTCTGAATTAAACATCACATTTCTCAACGACATGGGGTAATTAGAATAATCTCTTAGAAAACGTATGTCTATTTCAGGCACATCAGTTAAGTTTGTTTGGTATATCGGTAACAGTTCGTTTTTATACATATTGTCTTTATATTGTAAGCAGCCTTGATATGATTTACATAAAACCAGTGATTCTTTTTTCTGCCAGTACTTATTAGTTAAATCCATTATAAAAAGGTTGTGAACTTTATTAACTAGACTACTATTTTTAGATGAAATTTTGCACAAAAATTTATTACAGAGATATTTTCTTCTTAGCTCTAAAGGCATTTCACAACATTCTACTTGAAGATTTGAAATTGGTGTACTTTTAAAGGCTCCAAGGGATAATCTTAGACATTTATTTACTAAATTATCTAACTTTTTTAGGTTACTGGAGGCTGCTTGAGAGTATAGAAAGCATCCGTAATCCAGAATTGATCTAATAAATGACCTGTATAATAACAGGGACATTTCTGAATCGGCTCCCCAACTGTCAGAACTTACAGCTCTTAATATATTTAATCCTTTCTCGGCTTTTTTTAATATTCTTTTTATGTGCTCTTTCCAGATTAATTTTCTATCAATTGTTACTCCTAGGTATGTTACCTGGGAGATGACGGGAAAACTATGGTCTTGTAAAACAAGCTGATTGGGAATAGTTCATTTCCGGGTGAATATACATGCTTTTGATTTCGTGAGTGAAATGTTTAAACTTTTCTTGTGACACCATTGGTTAAATCGAAGAAAAAATTGATTTAAAGAACTGTAACCAGATTCAAAATCACAATTATCAATGTAAATGCATATATCGTCAGCATATTCCAGTATCTTAATATCCCTGAATTCGTCTGTTAGCTTTTCTAGGTCAAAGGTATAGATTGTATACAATATAGGACTTAAAACGCTACCCTGAGGTAATCCCAGACTTGTTGTTCTTGTATCTAAAATTTCCTCATTTATTTTAAGGTTATTTATGCGATTACGATATAATTTTATTATTTTTCTAGAATATTCACAACTAGAACCAATTCGCACCATTTGTTGATGTAGAATTCCTAGATTTACTTTATCGTAGGCTCCCTGAATATCCATAAACAACGCTATGGTAGAACGATTTAATGAGAATGAGATATTAATGTCAGTGGCTAGATGAGTAACATTTTCTATTGTGGAATGAGCTTTTCTAAACCCAAACTGATATTTTGGTAGTTTAAGATTGCATTCTAGCCAATATTCCATTCTTGTTTTGAGCATTCGCTCGAATGTTTTAAGTACACATGATGCCAGTGATATACCTCTGTATGATTCTGCTAGATTTGAATCTTTTTGCGGTTTTAACATTAGAATCATAATGTATTTCTTCCAATCTTCTGGATACTGCGAGGTTTCCCATATATTATTTATTATTTCTAACAAAGTAATTTTTCATGATAATGGAAGGTTGTATAACATTATATAATGAATGTTGTCGATACCAGGAGCCGTATTTTTGTGCTTTTTAATACTGCTCTGGAATTCTTTGAGACTAAATTTCTTTAACAGACTGTCCATTGGAATTTTATTGATATTTTCTACTTGAGGAGGGTAAACTGCTTCTTCTTCTTTAACCCATGGTGGCGTGACTTGGTTTATAAAGGTTGTTGTCCATTCTCCTGCTACTACCTTACTGACTGGTTCTTTACAATTATTTTTTAATTTTCTAACCTCTAATGAGCGTTTCCGTGCCATTATTAAGAAAAACTAGATTGGTATTTTCAATTGCTGAAAGTAAATTAATTCCTGCTCTATCAGTAATATCACAACCCCACACTTGGTGGTGACAATTAAAGTCACCCGCCAACAAAAAAGGTTTTTCCAGGCTTTCAAGAAACAATGACCAACTTCTTTCAGATATGTTTAATTTCGGTTTTGCATATATCGAATAAATATTTATTGTAAATAAGTTACTTACTTTAACAGCTAGAGAGACAGTCATTAAACCTTCAATACTCTTAAAACTCTTTGTATTGTTAAAAGCAATATTTTTTTTCAGATGAATACCTACACCACCATATCCATCTTCTCTATCTGAACGAAACAAATGATACCCATTAAAATTTGGTTTCAAATGTTTCTTTAACCAAGTTTCACTTAAAATACTCAAATGAATATTATTATCATACAAAAATTTTTCTAGTAATCCTTTATTGTGTATTAATGATCTTATATTATACTGAAGAATATTGAATTTATTGTTGAATGTTATTAAGAATTGGTAAAATATTCGTTTTAATTGAATTTAACATTTGCTTATTATCTGTTGGTATATACTCTTTTATAACTTTTATAATTGATTCCATTATTGTGTTGCTCTGAATACATGCAGCATCAAAGTGAGTAAAAGAAGAAGTACTCGGCTGACTAAAAGGTACCTTGTGATATTGTGGAATATTTCTAAAACTTTCATATACGGGTCTAGAGGGGATAGTTGGAAGGGTTATTATATCTCTATGCTCTTGGGTTATAGGATCTGGTGGTAATGGACTTGTTGCGATTCTTTTCTTTTTATATTGACTATATATTTAGATCCCTCTGTGGGAGATTTAGTAGCTGATGCATAGCTTGATTTATGTCTATTAAGGGCTTCCACATAACTTATGTTTTCTGTTGCCACTAAACGTTTAATTGATTTTTGTTCGGAAAATTCTGGACATTTAAATTTATCTGTAGCAGAATGATTGCATGTACAAAAAATACACGAAGGGTTGTTTTGTTTCTCGCAAGTATCACTAATATGTTCATTACCGCAAAATTTACATCTTTCCTTACCACGACACTGCTTAGCTATATGTCCATAACGCAAGCATTTTAAACATTCTATTATTTTAGGAATATATGTTTCGACATCATAAACAATTTTTTCTATTACTACTTGACTAGGAATTGTTTGTCCCTTAAAAGAGACAATAACAGTCCCCGTAGGAATTAATTTATCCTCAGATTTTCTAAACATTCGCTTAACCTGTGTAACTGTAACAACCTGACCAAATTTACCTTTAATTAAACCTTTTAATTCAATTTAAGAAATATCAGTATCTACATGTCTAACAACACCTCGTTTTTGTGTGTAAAAAGTAGGTATATAAGCATCATAGTTTTTATCCGATAGTGTTTTAGATTCAGCTAATTTATTTGCAGCCAAAAATGTATTACATTCTACTTTCAATTTATTTCGACCAATTATGGAAATATTAACAATATTATGTTTAATTTCATTTTCAGCATTTAATATTAACCTTGCAGCTCCTATTCTATGCAGTTTACCTATATTCCCTGATTTATTTTCTACGAAAACATAGTACGGTCCCTGATCTCCAAGTGAATAATAATTATTTTCAATATTTTCAATAGATATTTCGCTTACCTTGTTACTGTCGTTTTGATATTTATTATTTAGATTTATATTTTGATACTGACTTTCTTTCCTTCCCCTATCTGGTGGGATATTCCGATCGTCATCAATTTCCATGTCGTATTAAACACACACACACACACACACACACACACACACACACACACAAACCTATTAGTTCAATAGACCCAACTACAAATATTAACTAAAAACTGGTACTGATAATTTACACTTCCTAATTGCCCTCGATGTACACTCGACGAATGTTAATCGACAACTGCCATCAAACGATAAAATCAATCTTTCAAATAGTGTAACTATAGTATAAATTTCCTAAAAACCTTGATAACAATTTAAAAATAAAATGCTTCTTTTAATTTTTAATATTAACTGAACAAGAAACGCTCTACAATTCTCGTACCAAACGGCATCATATTCCCTCCATTTTTCATTATAAAAAACCCATTTCCGCAGGTATTATATGAAGCACAAATCTAATAGGAACAAGCTTTTAAATTTTAACGGCGTCAACTTAATGCATTCGAACAATGAACTGGAATTCGCCGCCGCGCTAACCGAAACTCACCAGCAACATCACCACTTAAGACATCAACACGATGAAATTCCATGGCCCGTCAAGAAAGAGGCTGTTGTCGAAGGCGATTTAATATTAGGTGGTTTGATGATGGTTCATGAAAGAGAGGATAGTATTACTTGCGGTCCGATAATGCCGCAGGGCGGCGTACAAGCGTTGGAAACTATGCTCTACACTCTAGACAGGTTAAATTACGCCGAGAGGCCGATTCTGCCGGGAATATTACTTGGAGCGCATATCTTGGATGACTGTGATAAGGACACCTATGGCTTGGAAATGGCTGTCGACTTTATCAAAGGTAAGTCTGACGAAATATTTAGCTGTCTAGTTTAGAAAATAAGGGAAGGAGTTACGATTTTCTAAGTTAACTATAACGAAATATTGTTTGGTTTTAAGATAGTAGCGAAGAACTAAGAAAAATTATTTTTTTTTTGTCTTGATATATAGTGTTTCCAGATTTCCTCTGTTTTCTTATAGTCTTTTGGTATGAATTTGGTAATATTTTTATAATCAGGGCAGTTTCTTTAAAGTATTAAAATTTTTAATTATGTTTTTTTTTTATATTTAAAGGGTTCATCAATCAGCCAATCGCGTCCATGCTGGACATAGGCCTCCCTCAGTTCTTTCCAGTGTTCTCTACACTGGGCCGCTTGTAGCCAGTTTCCCGCTACACGTTTAATGTCATCGGTCCATCTAGTCGGTGGTCGTCCTCGGCTTCTTTTATAATTTCTGGGCCTCCATTCCATAATACGTCTTGTCCACCGTCCATCTTGTGTTCTGGCTAAGTGACCTGCCCAGTTCCACTTAAGCGTCGTGGTTCTTTCGATGACGTCTTGAACTCCTGATCTTCGCCTGATTTGTTGGTTTGTTATGTGGTCTCGAAGGCTCACGTTCAGCATTGCACGTTCCATGGCTCGTTGTGTAACACTAAGTTTATTCGCAGATTTTTGCGTGAGTGTTAAAGTCTCTGCTCCATAAGTTTGTACAGGTAAAACACATTGGTTATAAACCTTTCTCTTGAGACACATGGGAATTGAACTTTTTAGAATATGGCTTAATTTGCCAAATGCTGCCCATGTTAGACATATTCGCCTCTGTATTTCATGTGTTTGATTGTCTCTGCTTATTTTGATTTCGTGTCCCAGATATTTGTAAGTGTCTGTTTGTTGTATGGTATTATTGTCAATAGTTATATTTCCACTCATTACGAGATTTGTTATAATTTTAGTTTTCTTAAAGTTTATCTTTAATCCTGCTCTTTCAGACAGACTTTTAAGCGAATGCATCATAGAAACTGTATCATGTAAGTTATCTGCGATTAATACAACATCATCTGCAAACCTTAGGTGATTTAATCTTTCTCCATCTATATTGATGCCCATATCTTACCATTGAGTACCCTTAAATATTGACTCTAGAGCTGCCGTGAACAATTTTGGTGAAATATTGTCTCCTTGTCTAACTCCTCGACCTAAGCTGAATTTTTCTGTGTCTTCGTGCAGTCGTATACTTGATGTAGCGTTCTGATAGATATTTTTGATTAGTGTCGTGTACCTGTAATCTATTCGGCTTTGATTTAGGGCTTCCAGTATTGTTTCAAACTCTACAGAATCAAAAGCCTTCTCGTAAATGCAAGAAGCAGTGGTATGTTATACTCGATGCACTTTTCTATTAATATCTTTATGGTATGCAAATGGTCATTTGTGCCATATCCTGCCCTGAAGCCTGCCTGTTCTTTGGGCTGATAGAAATCAAGTTTAGGTGTTAGCCTCTTTGTTAAGATTTTCATAAAGAGTTTGTACATATGTGTCAAGAGTGTAAAGTGTTTTTTGTGTAAAAAGACTATTACTGCATTGTTCCAGTCTTTTGGAATCGTACCCGCATGTAAGCATTTAGTAAACAGTTCGCTTACTGATTTTAATAAAATTTCTCCACCTGCTTTTATTGCCTCGATAACGAGTCCATCATCACCAGGCGATCGATGGTTCTTCATTTCCTTTAAAGCTGCTCTTACTTCTGATACAGTAATGGGTAAAAGTATTTCCGATCCCTGATTTATGAGAGTCTTTACTCGTGTCGGGAAAATGTCTTGTGGTCTTTGGCTGGTATAGAGGTCTTTATAAAATTCTCTAGTTATTTTCAGAATGTTTTGTTTATCTGTTGTTGCCTTTTCGTCTTTATCTCTCAGCTTGTATATTTTTTTTTACTTTGCGTAAGTTTTCTTTTCATTATCTTTAAACCTTTGTCCTCTTCTACTGTTTGAGTAATTACATTAGTATTATATCTTCTTACATCTTTTCTAATTTCCGCTGAAATTTTTTTATTTAGTTTTTTATATTCTTCTTTGTTTCCCTTTTCGTTCTCGCTTAGGTTTCGTCGTATTTTCATGAGAGCCCTTGTATCTTTGCTAATCTTTTCACTTTTGGTGTCATTTTTCTTGCAAAATTTGAATTGTGAGTTTCTAATTGAGTCTGTTATTAATTTATTGTGATCGTCGATACTTTGAGGTTTGTGATTATTACTCTGTAAAGTTTCGGCTATATTTCTTATGTATGTTTCTGGATGATTTGGTGAATTCCAAACTATGCGTTTACAACTGTTTATCATCTTTGCTCTTTTTTTTTGTAGATTGATCGTTACTCTAGCTCTTACTGGTCTGTGGTCGCTTCCTACTGATAGTTTATTAAGTACAGTGACATATTGAATAATTTAACCCTTTTAAAGGGTTCATTTTTATTAAATGATAAGCCACACAACAGTGATCAGAGTTAAATTTTAAATAAAAATTATAAAATCAGAAACATACACTCTGGGCCAAAATTAACAGGTTACCTTAAAAACAGGTAATTTTTAATGTCTTTTTCTAAACCGGTTGTTCGATTTAAGTGATTTTTTTAATATGTTACAGCCTTATTCCTTGACAATATCGTTGTATTAATATGGTTGCTAAATAGGTAAATTTTTATTGTATACCGGGTGTACGAATTAAACTGTGTTTTTTTTTTAAAATAAAAACTTAACTGTAGCCTCATATTTTCTCAACATTATGTTTTTTGATTCATTCTCTTATGTTGGATAATACAAAAGTTGGGTAGTTTAAAAACTAGCCATGTTTTTCATCGATACAGACGATTTAACCCACCAGCAAAATAACCCCACCACCTTTATTATTGGTTTTTTTTTTTTCACTAGGGTTATTCGCGGGGTGGTAAATCTTTATTTTAGAACAGCTACACTTAGTATGTTATTAAAATTCACATAACAGTTTTGAAAAATACAAACATTTTATGTTATGTTACAGTTTGTTATACAGTTTACAATTTTTGATAAAATTTATTGTATTACTGATGTCTTTTAGAGTTTCTTTCAAATTGTGTTTTATTTTTGCTGTCGATCTTGCTATTAAGTACACTGGACAGTCTATCATTTATGTTGCATTGAAAATGATATTTGACCGGTGTGACAAATCGGCTGAGGGTTCTTGGAGATGATGTATCTATGTGTAAATTTTATATGACCTAGCCGCAGTCTGTTAATCACTACTTCATCATGTCTTTGAGCTGGGAGCGGTAGTCAAGCGGAAGTAACATCTGGTTTAATAATTTTTAATTTTGCTTCTGTTTGGCTCCATTTTACTTGTCAGGTTTTATTAATGTAAGTTTTTTTAATGTTTTTTGGTCTGAAATTGGTATGTTTTGCATAATAGGAATTGTCATGTTATTGATAGTTTCTGTTCATTACCCTTTATCCCAACATGGGATGGTACCCATAAAAATGTTATGTTTTTACCACGTGTTTGGACATTGTATAGCATGTTTTTTATTAGTACCAAATTGGCATTAGCAGGATACATCTGCTTGACACCATTTAAGGCACTCAGAGACTCTGATATAATAAAAAAAATTATATCATTGCTGATACATTCGTTCAGTGCGTTAAAGATTGCTTGCAGTTCTCCAGTATCTATGCTACACTCCTTAGCTAGACGGGTGACAGAGGTGTTGTCTTTAAAAATAGCTGCAGCAGCTACACCATTACTGCTTTTAGAGGAATCAGCAAAAATTAGTTTGAAATCAGGGTATCTTGAGATGGTAGACCGGAATTGTTGTTTTATTTCAGAAGAATTGTGTAAATGTTTGGGATAGTTAAGTATGGTAAAATTCACTTTCGGTATTTGAACTTTCCAGGGATAAGACTGGCATCTGATTATAGAAGTGACTCTCAATTGATGTATATCCAATTTAAATCAATTTATTCGTTCATTGAAAGGTAAGTTTCTAGGGCAATAACTTGAGTACAGTTTTGTAGGGTTGCTCCTTATTAGGCTTGTTATAAACGTGTTTTCATTTGCACTGACGGTTCTCCTGCTAGGACTTGAAGGCTGCTAATTGGCGTGGTTCTGAAAACTCCGAAAACTATGCGTAATGCTGTGGATTAAATGATATCCAGTTTGTTCAATTGTATAGATAGGTAGATGGTCCAATGTATTCTACTGTAAAAATGGAGCAAAATTTGAATCACTGATAGATAAGTCTATGGAGGAAAATGTGCCAATATGTGCATTGAATCTAGTAGGTGTTCCTGTATTTAACAAAACTAGTTTTATGGTGATAATTGCTTCTAATAATATTCGTCCATTTTATCTGTTTTTTGGGATCCCCATGCGATGTTGTGACAGTTTCTGTCGCCCAAAATTAATTTAGGAGATGGAATTTGTTTAATTACATTTTGAAGTACTAATAGAGTAGTTTCGTCAGGATGTGGTAAATATACGTTGCATATATTGATTTTAAAATGATGTATTACCGAAACTGCTACTGCTTCCAGATTTGTATTTAACGGAATTTCTTTGGATTGGATAATTGAATGTACAAAAATTCCCACTCCGCCACTGGATATTTGCTGTACTGCTCGATTTTTTGTATAGGGCATATAATTTTTTAGTTTTGCTTGATTGTTGGAAAGACGAGTTTCTTGTAGACATATTATTAGTGGTGACAGTTCATTCATTAGCATTTTAATGTTTTTAATGTGGCTATAATAGCCATTCAAGTTCCATTGAAAAATGAACTTAATTGGACTATTGAGATAAATCGAAGTCGTAGTAAATTATTTTTCATACGTCATCATTTAAATTTGAGTGAACCATTTTTAATAATGTGTATAAGCCTTTAAAATCGTCTGTATAGTTTTTAACTGTGACTTCGGGAAATTTTGATCCCGTTGCGTTTATAACGAAGTCGCATAATTCAGAGAAATTTAGCGTATACGAAGGAGATGCTGTCATTAAAATATTTTTAATTTCGTTTTAAGGTGGCTTTGATATCTAAAGC